TTATTCATTTATTCAACCAACAAATATTTATTGACTGCTTACTGTTTGCTCAGCACTGGCATATATTAGGCACTCAAATATGGGTTTAACAATTCAATGCAGATATAGCAATGAGTTAAAAAGAATACAAATTTCCTGCTTTCACAAAAGTGAGATTTCTTGCAAGACTATAAGAAGTATGGTTCTGCAAAAGACTTAGCACTTTTAAACATTTTTAACGTATCTGCTTCCCATGTTATACTATGAATTCCTTAAGGATAGGATTTTGTCTTCTTCATTTAGTACTTAGTTCATGGAGACATGAACAGTAAGCACTCAATAAAACATCTGTCCAAAGAGTGAAGGAAACTATCTCACATTTAGCTTTACAACTTCCAGAATATTTAAGTAAATAGTGCCTTATGTAAGTAAATCAAGACTTCCTTTAAAGTTTAGATTTTCTAAAAAATGAGAACACTACACAGTTCCATGGCAATAGCAAGAAACATCTAATATTAAACCAGCATAACTTAATAAGACAGAAAAAAGAGTGAATCAAAATTCTAATTGGATTAATAAAATGTGGTATATGTATACCATGGAGTACTATTCAGCTCTAAGAAACAACGGTGATATAGCACATCTTATATTTTGCTGGTTAGAGCTGGAACCCATACTACTAAGTGAAGTATCCCAAGAATGGAAAAACAAGCACCAGATATATTCTCCAGCAAACTGGTATTAACTGAGTAGCACCTAAGTGGACACATAGGTACTACAGTAATAGGGTATTGGGCAGGTGGGAGGGGGGAGGGGGGTGGGTATATACATACATAATGAGTGAGATGTGCACCATCTGGGGGATGGTCATGATGGAGACTCAGACTTTTGGGGGGAGGGGGGGAAATGGGCATTTATTGAAACCTTAAAATCTGTACCCCCATAATATGCCGAAATAAAAAAAAAATTCTAATTGGCATTTCAAAAAGAAATAATATTATAACTGCAAAGTAAAAAAAAAGCAACGTACTACTTTTCAATTTTAAAAAAATGTAATGACATAGCAAATATTAGATTCCATGTACAAGAGCTTAAAAATACACAAAATAACAAGTTGCGTTAACTTTACAGGTTTCCTGGTCCTGTCCTTTTTATTAGTCCTCATTCTTTACAGAGGTGTTTTCCCACTCCTAAGCAGCATACTTTCTTTTTCCAATTGAGATAACTCACTGCCTTCGGACCAGTCCTAGAAACATATTTTTAATGTGAATTTCATTTAACATTTTCATGCAGGTAAAATCATCAGTAAACTGCCTCTTCCAAAGCCTCTGGATAAAATCACTGGTCAATGCTGGGTAGGGAGAGAGGCTGGTATGCTCTCCCTACTAGGAGAGTAGGGAGTAAGATTAATCTAGAGTAAGATTAACAGCTTCCCCAGCTAAAGCAATTCTTCCAAAGGGAGAAGTTTTGATCTGATCCTATTTTAAAACTTCAACAGAGCCATCGTGACTTTGCTCTTCAAAGAGCTTTAATAAAGCTAGCTGCTAAAACAACTGTGGGAAGAAAAACCTGGACTTATTTCACAGTACCAACGTCACATCAGCTCCTCTCCCCACACCCCCAGGGCCCCAGTTCTCCTGAAAGACAGCTTTTTAATTACTTCAAATGTGTGAAAACCAACCTTTACTTCCTGCAGGCTGCAACACTGGGTTCTAAATAAAGAGGACTAAAACCAGTGTTTGGCTATCACTTAGAGTCGCATGTACTAGAATTAAGAATGGCGGCAATAGGGGCTTAGCACTCACAGCAAAAAGCAAAGCCAACATTCTTGGGGTGACTCACACATGAATTACAGGTTCTCAAGATGCCCACCTCTCCTGTTGGGGATCAAGAAACTAAGGAACAACAACAGGCCTACAGTCACATTCCACACCACATGACTCTGTTTTAGAGAAAGGTGGTATGCGTAATCTGAAAACCTAAAGCGTGTGGCAAATATATACGTGGTGGAAAAAAGGCAGAAAGTACTCCATACCTCTAAACATTAATGGGAGCTGACAGAATTACAACACTACTCATTTTCTTAGTAATTTTTTTATTTTCTATGATATTCTTGTATTATTTTAATAATAGGAGAAAACTCAATGAAATACATCCAACCATTAAAAAGTGACCATACAAAAACAAATTTATTGGCATGGAAACCTTTACCATATAGTCTAAATGTTTTGATGTGAAGGCTATTGAATGAGTTATATAAATATGTATATACTATTATCTGTTTGAGGAACTACATTTGCACATATAAAAATAAATCTTAATAGAAATCGAAAAGGAATATAAAACCTACGAACCAGAATGTTAGCAGCAGTTATCTCTGGATAACTGAGATGATTCTGGTACTCTGAGTGATTTTAATATTTTTCGTATTTATTTTCCGATCTTTATCCAACGACTATGTATGTCTTCTATAACAGCAAATAATGACAATAAAGGAATAAATTTGGCAAATAAATCAGGAATTAAATTGCCATAAGTAGCCATGTTGCTGTGGCCATGACAACCACTCAGATGTCTGAGAACACTCAAGGCAAGAAGGGACCCTCTGAATCAGCTATCTTCCTCCTGTATAAATTCTACTTTTGTTCCCTAAGTGCTTTGAAGACTCTATTTGGCCAATATTATGATAGATGCTGAAATTCAGGAGTTCTGAGTACTGTAATTTACCATCTATACCCACAACCCCAGAATCATTAAGGAAGAAGATCTACAAAACAGAATGTACAACACCAGTTTCTTATGCTTAACCAGCTAAACAAAAGAAAATAAAGGCACACAACAGATAAGATTTATTAGATAAAAAGAGCAAATAGACTGAAGATATGCTATTCCAACCACACCACACTGCGTAATATAATTTAATACCTTTTTATACTTTTACATTTTTTGTGAAAACTCTCCTCTTTCTATGTCTTTGTGTGTGTGGGGGGGTGTATGTGTGTATGTGTGTATATGTGTATATGTGTATATGTGCATATGTATATAATAAGCTTTTTCAGTTTTTTAATCTTGTTTGTCTCCAGGAACTAAGAGAACAAAACAAGTTCAGTGGAAGAAAGGTAGAAAGAGAAGAGTGCTTCAAGGATAAGATGCAAAGGGGCAAAAGCTGGGGCCAAATGCCAACCAGGGATTCTTCTGCCCTCTGGAGGCTAAGAATTTTGTTCTCCCAGCTTCCTCAAACACGAGCACTATTAACCCTCTCCACTCCACCCTCAGCCTTCAAATTGGCGACTTTAATATGCATAAAAATGACCCTTCAGCCTACTGGCCTGACAGTTTTTTAACTCCCTCAAAAAAAAATCCTTCAGCTCAGACGTGCAACAGATATAATCACCAATTGCATTACTCAATGCTCACTGTCTTTAATTCTAAAATTATTCTCCTTGCACAATGACTGACTTTCCTTCCCCCTCTCTTATTCTCTTAGTTCCACAGAATGTGTGTGCTGCTCTCAGGTGGCTGCCAGTCAGCCCACTGACATTTCTTCCTTCCTGTCACCAAGGTTTTGGCTTCACTATCTACCCCTGCAGCCTGGCCCTGGATTAGTCACTAAAGAAATGGATTCATTGTACATGAACTTCCTTTCATTCTCTCTGTTTGCATCTGGTAATTGGTTAGCCTCTCAACACAATGACCAAAGTAAAGAACAGGCGAGAACAGAAACTAACCCTTTTCTTATGAAGTATTAATGATTCCCAATTGCCTAATGAACAAGGAACAGCCCCTTCACTCTTGCATTCAAAGATCTCCACTGTATGGTCTCACTCTCCCTGCCCAACGAGTTCCCAAATGTTTTACAACGAGGACTAAAGATTCTGAGAAGTTATATCTGGGTTTCTAGGAAGGCCCATGTAGGCACTGAGCAGCCAGGACTCTAGGCGTCATCCAGAGAAGCTCCACTTTTATCTAACAATAGGAAATTGTTCAATAAATTATACTGAATACAGAAGACAGATTACTCAGCCATTAAAAACAACATTTCAGAAAAATGTTTGGCAACATAGGAAAATGTTCATGATCCTAAACATTATATATGGCTTTATCCATTCTTCAATATGTAACAAACCTATAAAAGACATAGTCTAGAGGGAAACACATAACAGTGTAAACTGTAGTTATATCAGAAAAAAAAATTAAAAAGGCCCTTTAAAATTTCCTTTTTCCAATAAAAAACAATTTTTTAAAAAAAAAGGCCAAGGAAATTTTTTTTAATTATTTTCTTTAGAAAAATTATTTGTTCTCTTCAAAAAGATCGTTTCCCAATGCCCTTGCTCTGTATTTTCTCTTTCCTACAGCCAGAGAGTAACTGAGCAAACCTTACTCACCTTTGCTGGAGTGTTCCAGACTAACATCTGGTAGTCACCAGCAGGGAAAGAAAGAAGGCCAGGCTGCTGGCCCCAGAGATTTCAAAGACAATCAAACCAAAAACAGGGGATAAAAAAATAAACAAGACAATTCCTCAGGCATGATACATGTGCCTGTGTCTGTGTGTTGGTATTTACTTCAATACTTATGAATTTACCTGCCTTAAAGCCCTTGGTGTGTGTGTGTGTATAAGACAGAATCTCATTCTGTCACCCAGGCTGGAGTGCAGTGGCACAATCATGGCTCACTGTAACCTTGAATTCTTGGGCTCAATTGATCTCCCACCTCAGCCTCCCATGCCTGACTTTTTTTTTTTTTTTTAAGAGAATGGGTATTGTTATGTCACCCAGGCTGATCTTCAACTCTTGGCCTTCACCTCCCAAAGTGCTGGGATACAGGCACGAGCCATCACGCCCAGCCCTCAATGGTTAATCTTAAATTGTCAGCTACCTATAAGAGGCAAAAATGAAGAAAATCTAAGCAAAAAGAACATGAATATTATTAAAACTAAAAGTTGGCACAGAGTACTTTGCTTTTCCCAAACATTAGGGATTTCCCTGTAGGCAAGAATTTTCTACTAAATCTTTAATGCTCACCAGGTGCTTTGCCTTAGCGCGTTCTTCCTCACTTGATATCCTCTCTCGAAGGATAGCCCTGGTTAACTGCTCATTGGCAGCTGCCCTCTCCCGGTCCAGCTCTTTGCCTTGCTTTAGTCTGAAATGACAAGAAAGGTGTAACTTAGAAAAGGTATTTTATTAGTTGATATTATTTCTTGTTAAATAGTTAAATAAAAAGATAGAAACATAGCCAAAAGAGTCATAGCTGAAATCATTTGGCCCATAATCTATCAAAAGTAGGTGGAGCAGTAAATCCTCATGCAGCCTCTAACCAAGCATTTAAAATAGCCAATTCAAATACATGAAGAAGCTTATTAAGTTGGCTACCAAACATATCTAAGTTTTACAAAGTTCTTATGTAAAACTGAAATCTGCCCACCAAAAAATTCTTTCCCTTGTACCTCCATCTGTCCTCTAGAAATTTAAGTAATAAAACTAATTAAGAAGCCATCTACATGACAAATATTTGAAGGCAACCATCATCTTCCCCTCAAAACTGGCTCAACTATTTATTGAATAGGCTGCATATGCTATGGCTCACATCTGTAATTCCAGACTTTGGGAGGCTGAGGCAGGAAGATCACTTGCGGCCAGGAGTTTGAGACCAACCTGGGCAATATAAATTTAAAATTTTTTTAAATTAGCTGCACAAAGTTGCACATACTTGTAGTCCCCACTACTCAAGAGGCCTGAGGTAGGAGGATTGCTCTAGCCCAGGAATTTGAGGTTACAGTGAGCTATGATTGCATCACTGCACTCCAGCCTGGCTGAATACACACCAGAAACTGAGCTAGGCATTGAGGACACAATAGTGAACACAACAGACAGGTTCCTATCCTTGTGGATTTTATATTACAGTGGGGAAAACAGAGACGTTCGAGAACTAATAACACAATGAAGATATCTTTCCTCCCCATTTGTCACCCCCATTTTCCAACAATCCTCATATGCAAATATGGCTACGCCTTTAAACAGCAGGGCTCCTTACTTCATGAATGACTCCAATGTGTTCCTTAGCTCTATACTAAACCTCCACACTCTACACGTGGTCTAATAAAGACAGCAGAACCTTACCTCCCCACATTTGCACACAATACTAATTCTATTAATGAAGCATAAGATTGCATTAGGTTTATCAGTAGCCTCATCACACAATTAGATCATATTAAGTTACAATCCACTAAAATCCCTCATTGTATACAATAAAGATAAATTACTTTGGCACCGATTTTTGCCATACTGCCCGGCACATAAAGGCATTCAGTAATCACTGAATGAGAGAACATTTCAGTCTAATCTCATGGACAAAGATTTTCTGATTACCTTTTCTTCTTTGAGAGAGCAACCCCACTATACCATCATATTCCTGAAGGTATGTATACGCTATGCTTTAAAAAGAAAAGGCAAAATTGTTATGTTGGTATAAGTGAAATTCTGAATGAAATCTATAAGTGTAAATGATGAGCACAAAATTCTACTCAGTACTAGCCTATCAAATTTCAGTTTTAAAAAGATTCTTGAAAAGAACTGAAGAAGGCAAAAATTTTTTGTTGCTATTTTTAAATTGCCATTTCATCCTGATACTTTGGAATTCCAGAAATCAATTATAACAGATAATATCACCTTGTAAAATATATTCCAAACTTACAATGCTTTTCCCCTAAAAATTATACCTGTATGGCTTTGTGTCTTGAATAAAAAAGAATAATCAAAACAAATTAAAACTTGCACTTTGAAATTCTCTAATGCAAAAGTAATCTTCAGGAAACATCATAAGTAATAAGCACACTGATGCTTATACAAACCAAATTTTTCTAAATTATTTCATGAAGACAATATAATAAATTCAGCAATATCAATAATATCAATACATTAACTCCATTAGATATGTTGTAAGAGAACAGCAATAATTAGAATTCATGCCACTTGCCTACAACAGCAGTTCTGAAAGTATGGCCCACAAACCAGCAGCAGCAGCACGACCTGAGAACTTGTTAGAAAGGTAAATTCTTAAACCCCACCCTACACTTGCAGAACCAGGAACTAAGAGTAGTGTCTAGCAAACTGTGTATTAATAAGCCCTATAAGTGATTATGATTCTGAAGTTTGAGAGCCACAGCCTTCAGTTACCAAAATAGATTTTTACCCAAATAAATCCTATCGATAAATAAAAGGAAAGTAATACCAAAAATGAAGTGGTCCACATGAGAATATTGCGGTGACAACTGCTTAAGTTATAGTATCAAGAGTACAAAACTGTGCATTTAAAGCATTTTTACGGGCATCTTACCTTTGAGCAAAAAACATGACCTCAGTAAAATATTACATGTGAAGTGGAAACTAGAATAAAATAATAAAACTACTATCACTTATGGATCACATACTATGTGCCAAGCACTATGCTAGGCACTTGGCATACATACACAAAACTTTTATTATAATGACATTATTAGCTTATAAACATAAAATGAATGCATACAACTAGATTTTATCATATCTATCACATTTGGTGTATCCAAAAAAAAAATTTTTTTTTTTTTGAGAGAGGGTCTCACTCTGTTGCTCAGGCTAGAGTGCAGTGGTGTCAACACAGTGCACCACAACCTCAAACTCCTGGGCTCCAGCAATCTTCCTGGCTTAGCCTCTAAAGTAACTGGGACTACAGGAAGGTGCCACAACACTTGGCTGATTTTTCTATTTTTTTTTTTTGTAGAGTTGGGGTCTTACTGGTGCTCAGGCTGGTCTCCAATTTCTGCCCTCAAGTGATCCTCCCGCCTCAGCCTCCCAAAGTGCTAGGATTACAGGCGTAAGCCACTTCACCTGGCCTGATGTATCAAATTTTAAAGTACTGCTATTTTAACAATAACTGCATTTTTTTCTATTTGAGTTTACTTATATATGGCATAAATTTTAATTATAAATGGAGTTATAATTGGTTCAACTTTAAGAACTATAAGGTCATAAAGTTTTAGCAAGTTAATGAGAAAGAAATAAAACCATAAAAATAAGGATTTCTTAGCTTGCCATACTTGGTGCAGACATACAAACACTAGAATGAATTCCTGGGTCAAATCAAGGCTCTCTATTTATTAATACTGTCTGAACAAGTCATTAATCTCCCTGAGTCCTCTTACTCTCATGGGTAAAATGAATTGATGTAGTATCTATCATACAGGATTCTACATAAACAAAGCACTTAGCACAATGCCCATAATATAATAAGCAATCAACAAACATTAGGTCAGTAGCAATAATAATATTTGTAGGCACTACGGGCTCAGAAATAGAGAAAGCAGTGATTTTCTGAAATGAAAAGCAAATCTCCAAATTCACTAAAGAGACTGTGACCACATAATAGTTTTGTCTTCTCCATCTCTTTTTCCAATTTTTTGCCAATAAGAAATTCTGGGCCAGGCATGGTAGCTCACGCCTGTAATCCTAGCATCCTGGGAGGCCGAGGCGGTAGGATAGCTTAAGGTCAAGAGCCAGGCATGGTGGCACATGCCTGTAGTCCCAGCTACTCAGGAGGCTGAGGCAGAAGGATAGCTTGAACCCAGGAGTTTGAGGTTGCTGTGAGCTAGGCTGACGCCACAGCACTCCAGCCTGGGCAACAGAGCGAAACTTTGTCTCAATAAAAAAAAAAAAGAAGAAGAAGGAAGGGAGGGAGGGAAGGGAGGGGGGAGGGAGGAGAGGAGAGGGGGAAAGGGAGGAGGGGGAGGGAGGAGGAGGGAGGAAGGAAGGGAAGGAAGGAAGGAAGGAAGGAGGGAAGGAAGGAAGGAGGAAGGAAGGAAGGAAGGAAGGAAGGAAGGAAGGAAGGAAAGAAGGAAATTCTGCTTTATTTTATTATCTTCAAGGACTTCTAAAATCAAAAACTGACTCTATTGACTCTAGACACTACCCTTTGATGTGCTTCTTCCTTTCTTTCCCACTTGTCTATTGCTCCATAAGGACAAGGACTTCAATTATGTTTGTTCCCTGCTATATCCCCAGGAGTTGTAACAGTGCCTGCCACATAGTAAGCACTCAACAAAACTTGTTGAATGCACGTATGCATGCATGTAAATGAACGAATGAATAATGGCATATTACCAACCATACAAATAGAAAAAATGGAAAACATACTGCAAAAATATAGAAGACTGAGGAATACAGGAAACAATTAGAGAGCCGAGCCACGGTGTTCTATGTAGTACACATGTGATATAATCCTGGACTACACTAAATAACCTGCAACAGAGGGTGCCACAACATTCCAGAGCTTCTGGAACATCAGTACTAGCTGTATTTGACTGTTTAGCCGAGAATTGGCAGTGGTACAAACTGACCAAAATGAAAATTATTTTCCTTTCTTAATAAATTCTTATTCTTTCATTTATCCTTACAAATAGAACTACACAAATTCCTGACTAATTTATTTTAAAGGAATGTCTATAAACAAACAACAAAAAATTAAAGGTCTGTGCAGTGACCTGTTAAGAAACAGAATCTTATCTTGTACCTTCAAGGAGTTTGGACATAGGACCCAGAACAAATTCTCGTTTCCTACTGGCACTTTAGTGGTACAATCTAACAAACCTCAATTTTCTCAGCTTTAAATCTGAAGTTTGAACTATGGTTAGCTGCAAGGGACCTTAAGATTATAATCTATAAATACCACACTTTTCACTTATTATTTTTCATTCCATAAAAATTCCTTTAAAAGGTGGCAAGGCATAGATGAAACAGAGGGGTTTCATCTCCAAATTTTATACTGTTGTGGTTTCTACTCAATGGGTACTTATATTTCTACTCTGATCCTGAGATTGCCTACTACTGTACTTAACAAAAACTGTATACTATGTAAGAGTAAATGATTTAGATCCCCAAATTCTTCAGTGTATAATTACTGGGTGGCAAGCACTACTATGAGAATAAAATAGTGAGCAAGAAACACAATCGTCCCCCATGAAGCTTAACTGTAAATGACAGATGCACTATTTTATAAAAATGAGGATGCTATGACTCTACGTGGGTGGGACTGGTATTTGATTTGATGTCTACAAGACATTAACTGAGCAACATGAGGAAGGGGAAAGTGTCCTGGGCAGAGGAAACATT